TAAGTTTCATATTAATGCACGAGCACTTCAGAAACGTTTTACCATCTCCCGTGCTGATGCTCGACAGATTGTGTTGGATTGTCCTAATTGTGTGATTTTACATCATCCTCCCTCTATAGGCATAAATCCTCGTGGTTTACGGCCTTTAACTATATGGCAAATTGATGTTACTCATGTTCCTGACTTTGGTAAACTTAAATATGTCCATGTATCTGTAGATACTTGTTCTGGCATTATCTATGCTTCCGCTTTGTCTGGGGAAAAAGCTGGAAATGTTACCACACACTGCTTGGAAGCTTGGGCAGCCTGGGGATTACCACAGTCCATTAAGACGGACAATGGTCCAGCATATACTGGGCGACAATTTTCTTCCTTTTGCAGCAAGATGGGTATCCAACTTGTCCATGGTTTACCTTACAATCCACAAGGCCAGGGCATTGTAGAGCGCGCTCATAAGACTCTAAAAGAGATGTTACTAAAACAAAAAGGGGGAATTGGCTTAGGCCACTCCCCGAAAGAGCGCCTCTCCCTGGCTCTATTTACTATCAATTTTTAAAATCTGGACATCCAAGGGCACTCTGCTGCAGATAGGCATTGTTCGCCCTCTGCCCCGAATTTTGGGTATGTTAAGTGGAAAGATGTCCTTTCCGGACAATGGTATGGGCCTGATCCCGTGCTGGCATGGGCACGAGGTTCTGTTTGTGTTTTCCCACAGGACCGAACGGAGCCAGTGTGGATCCCTGAACGGCTAACGAGAAAAGTCTCGAAGACAACTGACCAACAACGGGGGACCCTACGAGAGTCCAATGATGAGACCCTTCATTCTGCTGAGTATCCTGGCCCTATCACAGACGATGATGGTCCAGATGTTACCGATGCAGTGGTGGGCGGTAGCTCGGACATGGCCAATGCCGATGCCGGTCCATAAAAATTCTAGTGTCCTCCCCACTCTTTTTTCTACTTCATGTGAGATGTCTGCCCCTTGTGTCTCCCCTAGAGGAGACGGGGAACGGGTTTTCAACTTTTCTCGTGTTAATCTCACGGGAGTTTTCTGCTTCAGTTTCTTGAGAACCCGTTGTATTCGCTTACAGCGCAACAATTTGACCAATTGGGAGGACCCCTTACAGAACAGTAGGGTCTCACTGGGAATCTTGTATGCGGCGCTTAGCCAAGTGAGTGAGGGGAGACAGAGGGGCTCAGGAGAGACTACAAATTCGACCGAAATGAATATCACCACTTTGGCTATAACTTCCCAGGTGTCACTCCCGGTGGCTCTTTCTAACGTTAGTAATGCCACTTATTTTAAGGCCTCTCCTTATTGTACCCCGTACTATTCTTTCCCCCCGACATTCACGCCTTGTCAAGATCATTCTTGGGAGAAGCGCCAAGTTGCTGTGGGTTTCTCTCTTTCCCCTTCTCTTAAAAGGTATTTGTATAACTCTTCCAAGGCTAATTCCACTACAGGAACAGGCTGGTCTTGGTTTCAATGGTTGATTTCCAATGAAAAGGGGGCCACAGCCGATGTCTCTGCTCTGGCTCAATTGAGAGGAGTCCAGAGTTGGCTGTTTAATGTGTCTGGCTCTGTACAGGACACTGTTAATGGTAGGAGGCTTAAAAACATTTCATACAATTCTCAGGTGTCCAATGCTACACTGCCCTCTGCAGCAGTCTGTCTTCATTCTCCGTTTCTGTTCCTTTTGATCAATGATACCAATACTACAGGATCGGATATGATTGACTGTTCTAATTGTACATGTGTCTTGTCTGAGTGTTGGAATGGATCCTGGAGCACGGCAGTTGTTATGAAGGTCTCGACTTTCGTCCCGATTCCGGTTACTGCGGATCCGGACTCCTTCCCTATTATTGAGGTGCTCAGGAGCCGTAGGGATTTTGGAATCACGGCAGCTATTGTGACAGCGGTCGCAGTGTCTGCTGCTGCAGCGGTCACTGCTGGAGTGGCCATGGCTAGTCAAGTGCAGACTGCGGCCACAGTTAATCAGGTCATCCAACAAACTTCCAGCATTTTAGAGTCTCAAAGTAAAATCAATCAACATATTTTATCAGGAATTTTGGCTGTTAATCAAAGGGTGGATCTCCTCCAAGCTCAGATTGAGGAATTGTCAGACCTAGTACATTTGGGTTGTGTTGATCATAGTGCACATCTATGTATAACATCTCTCAGATTTAATGATTCCAGAAATACCTCTCAAATCATCGGACAGTACCTGGCCGGAAACTGGTCCATGGAAGCAGAGAAGTTGATCCAGACACAACTGACACAAATTGCCATGTTGAACAACACTCGTGTGGACCCTGTGACATTGGGCCAATTTACGAATTGGCTGTCTTCTGCCTTTTCTTTCTTTAAGGAATGGGTGGGAGTAGGCATTTTTGGAGCGATGTGTTGTTTTGGGGTTGTCCTTTGTCTGTGGCTTTTCTGTCGCCTAAGAGCTCACCATAGCCAAGAAAAGGCTATGATCGTCCAGGCTTTTGCAGCCCTAGAGAATGGTATCTCTCCACAAGTTTGGCTTGCGCAACTTAAGCAATGATTTCCTGGGTTTTGGCCATTGCACCCCAAGTCATCTTTGACATTGCACTGGGTTTGGCATGCCCTCCTCTTCCTGCCTTCCCAGTTTTGGAAGGCCCATGCACTCTGCAGGCCTTGTTGCCATTGCACACAGGTGGGCTTCCATGCTGGTGCTGCACTTTATGCTTTGGACCCTTCGTTTTCTCAGGGGCTGAGGGATGGTGTTGCCACTTCCAACCTCATAGTCACTGACCGGCTACTTGTAAAATCCCCTTTCTTTTTCACCGTCAGCACGATGCAGGATGCGAGGCAAGGCACTGCACTTGAGTGATCCGATCTCCGGACCTCAAGGGAAGCATGTCCTATTGCATATGGGTTTGGCGTCCACGCCCCAACCCACGAAAAAAGGCGTCGGCTGATATGGTGTCAGATCTAGGGAAGGCGCCTCCTTGGGACTGAGCCATACATTGCAGCCATGTTTGCACAGTGGGATAGGACCTCTACTTTCGCCTGCATTGTTTTTTAAGAGATAAGGGGGAACTGTGGTGAGCCATGTTTGTAGACCGTTGCCGCCATTAGAAGATGGCGCCGGTCTCCGTTGTAGATCTTGGTAAACAACTCCTTATTAGGAAAAGTTGGTGCGCTGTCCCTCAACACCCTATGAGAAAACCCCGCGTGGCAGCTTTGGATTGGACTTGAGTAAGCTTTATTAGGCTGTGTGGGGGTGCGTGCAGAGAGAGTGCGTGCTTGAGAGAAGACTAGAGTTAAGGCCTGAATAAACCGCTGAAAGAAGAATCCTGTGTCGTGTCTTCCTTGCTGGCGAGGGGGTCGTGACAATTATTGAGAATAGAGCCTGGGAAAACAGAGTAGCCCAGAGCCTATCCTAAGGAAATGTTAATGAAGCAGCTCCCCAGCAAACCTGAGGTGCTAATCAGAAGGGGCCCCAGGCCTTCCCAGCCCAGATTACTCCTCACCCAAGTGCCCCTCACCTTTTGGGCCTTCCCACCTACATTTCATCACTGCAAGATAACATAACAAAGGACAGGAATGCGGGAAAGCTGAAAGTAAACCTTAGCTGTAAAAAAGGAAAGACTTCCCCTTGCATGGATTCCACCTCTTGGGTCCCCTTCTTCCTCCAGGGAGAAGTCTTTTCTGCTGTCCTTAATAAAGCTTCTACTTTCCACTCTAAACTTGCTTTTCTGGTGTTATACTTCAGCATTGGGGAAGCAAGGACTTGTCACCGGTAAACAGTGGTAACAAAACTTCCACAAAATGTTGAACTTGACCCTCCACCATGAGGGCCAAAAAGCTCACTAACCACTAATCAGATGATGTAATTCTGATTCGGAAGCACTGCATATACTTCCAAAGTAAGAAATTATTTTAAGAAGACTGCTCTTGAAAACAAATTAACATGTGGAGCTGTGCAAGCAGGTTTACCTTCCATTGTGAATCATGACTATTCATTTAAATCAAATTGCTTTGTCTACAAAATGCACTTCAATGTGGCATTGAAGGTTTATTGTTGTTTTCCTCTGCACCCTCAGCAATTGAAGTTTGGAAGTCTGAGCCTCTGCAGATCAGCCTGAGTCCCACAGTGACACCGAACAAGTCCTCTAAATTGGGGCATTTTGTTTAAAATTAGTTTTTTTAAAAAATTAATTAATTTTTAAAATTTTGAGACAGGATCCGGTTGTTTTCCAGGCTGGTTGAATTTGCCATCCTACTGCCTCCGCCTCCAGAATAGCTGGGATTACGGACGTAGATCACTAAACCTAAGAAACTGAAGCACCCCCAAAATTTCAGGCTTTGAGCTATTTTTAGCAAATAATTACTACAAAGTTCCAAAAACCAATGAGCGTTCAAAGGCGACTGATTTTTAAATGTTTTTAAGTTGCGCTTTATAACATCTCAACGTGTTTGTTTTCGGGTTTCTTTGGTTTGACTTTTTTAAGGTGGTGCTGGGGATCAGACCCGGAACCCATGCCCCCGGCACCTCCTGCACCACGGAGCTTCCTCTCCAGCCAACACCTCAGCTTAGAGGGAAAACACTTCCGACGGCACGCCCAGCTTTAATGGCTCAACTCATCTTCCGAATCCGAATATAAGGAAACTGGGATGGACCACGACTTCTCAGCGCTTAAAATTCAGGGAAATTAAAAGGACCAGAGAACCCCTCCCACCCCGGGACGTTTGCAAACCTGGCCAGTGCGGCCACCGCCCCACCTGCCCCCCCACGGCCGCCCCTTCCGGTTCTGAACGCGAGGGCGCATAATCCCGCCCTCCCGGCATCCCCTGGGGCAGCCGCAGCAGGAGTGAGAAGAGACACGCCCCCCGGGGCGCGCGCGCCTACGCCAGCAGCTCCGCGGCCTGGTCGCGGACGCACGCGGTCCTCTGGGTCCGGGCCTCGCGCGGGGCGGGGCGTAGCAGAGCGGAGGCGGAGCGGCGGCGGAGCGGCGGCGGCTTGGCTGGCGGGCCCGGCCCGGGGGCGGCGGCTCCACATTTGCGCTGGCTCTGGCTCGGGCCGAGGCGCCATGGAAGCCGAGCCGGGGCCGGAGCGCGGCAGCCCCGGCCGGACACCAGAGGAAGGCGCGCGGGCCCTGGCCGAGTTCGCGGCGCTGCACGGCCCGGCGCTGCGCGCCTCGGGCGTCCCGGAGCGGTACTGGGGCCGCCTGCTGCACAAGCTGGAGCACGAGGTGCGGGCCGGGCGGGGTCCCAGGCCGGGGGAACCCGGCTGCAGACGGCCCCCGTGGGGCGGCCGGCCGCTCCGGAGCCCGCGGGGAAGCGCGCGGCTGCGGCCGGGCCGAGGGCGGTGGGGCCTGGGCGCGCGGCCGCGATTAGCCGCGGGGTGGAGGGCGGATGCGCTGGGTCGCGTTGAGCGACCTAGACTGTGTCCCTCGGCGATTCAGCAGCGGCTTGGAGTTTGGGGCTAGAGCTCCAGGGAGACATACGCCTGTGTACCCCGACCCTCCAGGCCCAGGCCGGCCAGGGTGGCGCCGGGAACTTAAGGTGGACTAGGGCGTGTGTCGTGTGCCCAGCCCTCGGCAGCCCTGTGAGGAGTGGGACCCGTCGCCCCTTATACAGATGAGAAAGCCGAGGATAGGAAGAGACCTGTCAGGCTCAAACCCAGAAGCTGCTCTCAGCCGTGAATTTGTGTAGCTTTAGCTGTTTGGTTCATAGAATTCCGTGGTGTTTCTTCATTTGGTTCAGGCACAGATCACCTTCATTTTGCAGAATAAGAGTTGAGACTGTGGAAGATGGAGAAAGAAGGTAAAGGAGAGATGAATTGTGTAGAGCTTTCTGGATTTTCTCCCTTTTGTGGAGTCCACTCCCGTGTGCCTGCCTCTCTAAGCCTTCAGAGTCTAAGTCTAAGACTTCAGAGGTCTCCTGCTCCTTCTGGCCCAGAGGCCAGATGGGGCCTTTTCCCCCTGGAGCCAGGCTCCGGCCGGGCTCAGCCTCTAGAACCTGGGCAGGCTAAGCGGTGCAGGTGACCCGGGCCAGGAACTAGGAGCCCCGGGAGCCTGACTGCTGAACAGACCTTGCCCTCTCTCAGCAGTTTTTGTCCCTGAGTATTCATTCCCCGAACACTTACGGGTGAGCTGCCCTTTGAATTTTGAATTTGCCCATTTCCTGAGCTAGATATGCAACAGAATCCTCTAAAATACTGGGCAGTGCCAGCAGGCCCCAGCTCCATGGCAGCCCAAAAACTCAAAGGGAAAGGGCAGCAGCTTAGGGCATTGCTGTGACGTTCGGTGGGTTGGGGGTGTTGGATGCGTCTTTAGCCTTTGATGTTTTCACCTCCGTGCGGGTTTCAGCCGTAGCCCCATCGTAAGTCGAGCATCTGTGCTTGGTGGCAGTGGCACTCCTCTCAGTGCATGTGCTCTGGAACAGGATTTCCTTCCCCCATCACCCTGGCCCTTAATTCTGCCACTGTTTTCTGAGGACTTCCCAGACCTGTGATGGGGATTGGGGCAGGGAGGACCCCAGTTTGTTAAGGTCCTGTTGTGTTGGATGAAAGGAGGATAATGTGGCAATGCCCTGGCCCCTGCCCAGCCCGCCTCAGGAGTGGTAGACCCTCACTCGGGCAGGTCCCTCACCACGGGAGCTCTAGCCTCATGTGGAAAGCAGGAGTAGTGGGAAAGGTGCACCTGGCTGACTGGGAACCTGGTGGGGGAGGGGAGGTGAGAGCTGAGGATTAAGCCACCAGTGTCCAGTATGTAGAAGATGGTCACCAGTGTCATGTCGTTTCTTCCCTGGCCACCCCATTGCTGTGCCCTACCCTGGGACAGCCAGTGTTTTTCCATTGACCTCCCAAGCTGTTACCAGCAGAGCTGAGTCACCAAGATGCCAGACACAAACCTGCAGCCATTGTCACAGAGTAAGACCAGGTCTGGGGTGGGAGGGAGCATGCCACCAAGACCAGTACCTGCTGCACACAAGGGCCTCATCCTGTGACCCTAGTGCAACTGCCGACTCCTGCTTGAGCTTTCCACTGGTGACCACTCCCCTTGCTGTCTCCCTGGGGGCCCCTCAATATCTGTCAAGTGCAGGCTGTGGTCACCTCATTCCATAGCAAGGGAGAAGCCAAGCCAGAATGGGGGTGGGCCCGCTGACCCCCAGAAGGCTGGCAACGGAAGGCTGAGGATTTGGGAGTACTTAGGCGAGCGAAGCCAGGCTCCAGCCCCTGCCTTCTTAGCAGAGAGCAAGGTAGTGGCCTTCCCAGGGCTGCGGCCAGCATTAAAGCAGGACTCAAACCTCTGCCCAGCTCTCTGGGAGCCTATTCCAGGTGATCTGTCTGCCGCACCCTGCTGGGCCCTTCCTTGCCCTTCCCCTGCCTGGAGTTCTTTCCCCCACCTCCCCAGAGCCAGGTCCTTTGGAGTCCACCTATGTATCTTCACCCAGAAACTTCCTCAGGCTCTGCCGCTGCCCACCTGGTACTTGGATGGCCTAGCCCTTCCTCAGCTCTCAGCACCATGCTCATCCTCTGTGACCATGGAGTGCCAGTCCCCACCAGCATCCCAGTGCCGCCTGTGCCTGAGTAGCTAGTGAGCTGCCCCTGAGAGGCTAGAGGTTTCAGGGAGGACTGGAATCAAGTCCCCTCTGGGTGTCGGAACTTAATGTGTGCTGTTAGATCTAATTCCCAAAGCGGTCCTGGAAGATGGGTGGTACCCCTTCACACAAGAGGAGACTGGGTCACAGAGCATGCTGAGACCAAGTGCTCACAAAACTGTCCTGTGGTCCAGGTTCTGTTCTAAGCCTGTTGGTGTGTGGGTCACCTAACCCTCCCAACACCCCCCTGAGGTGGTCCAGTTGTGTCTGTTGGACAGATGTGTAGGAAGTGGAAGAGCCGCCTGTGCCAGGCTGCAGAGTCTAAAGATACCGCCCCCACCCCCATCACTGGCTGGTGGCAGGAGCTAGGACCAGCCTGGCTCCAGGCACAGGAGAAGAGGCCCACTCTACCCTGAGGATGGCGCATACCCCTCTGTTTCCTGCCGGCCCTGGGCTATTGGCTGGTCTGGGCGAGTGACGGGGGGTCTCAGCTACTGTGGTGTGCAATTGCTTCTGGTGAGAGGAAGTGCTCCCCAGCTACCAGGACCCTGACCCCCATTCACCTCTAGTGTGACCAGAGCCACCTTCTGCCCTTAGGACCTTATTTTTCCTGGAAAGCAAGAGACCTAAACTAAAGAGCATTCCCCTGTGTACATAGTCCATTTCCAAGAGTGGTGTCCCATGGGGCCAGCACCTTGGATGATCTCAGCATAGATTATGCCCCTGTGAAGTTCTAGGAGGCCTAGTTTCCCCATCTGCCAGGTTTTTGTGGGTAGGTCGGGTAGTATATAGGTCCTACTCCTTAGAGGAGTCAGGTTCATCCTCAAGGCCTTGATGTGGCCCTCAGTGACCCTGTGGCAGCAGTCATGACTGTGGTGAGGGTCGGGGTAGGGTCTCCTGCCCCACACTTGCTGACCCATGCTCTGGCCCCAGGTCTTCGACGCCGGGGAGATGTTCGGGATAATGCAGGTGGAGGAGGTGGAAGAGGAGGAGGATCCAGCTGCCGGGGAGGCACGAAGGAAGCAGCCCAACCCCGGGAGTGAACTGTGCTACAAGGTCATCGTGACCAGTGAGAGCGGGCTTCGGGCCGCAGACCCCAACAGGTAGGATCCCAGGCCCTCCATCCAGGGCCCAGCCCACTCTTACAAAGCTACAAAGCTTGCACCAAATGTTGGCTGTTAGGGCAAAACTAAGTGCAGACACTCTGCTTCCTGTGTGCCAAGCAGCATCTTGGTCCCAGGACAAGCCAGTGCTGTGCATGCATGGCCAGTGCTGTTCCCACAGGGCTTCACAGTAGTGTCTGTTCCAACATGGTGAAGTCCCCTGAGTGCCTGCCTGTGATCTCACCATTGTCACAGTGGCCCCCTTGCAGGGTGTAAGACTTTGGTTTTGCTGAAGCTTTTGGGCATGGTTGCCCAGTTGGCTGAGGCTGGGTGCTGCAGGTGCCTGCCTGTTCCTAAGCATGGCTTCTCCTTGGACCCTTTCTTGGAAACAGGAACCTCTGAGACCCAGAGCAAGGCTGGTCCTGCCCACAGCTTCCTGTCTCCCAGGGACCACACTAGAGATATCTCCTGCCAAAGTCCTTGTTGGAATCTTAAACTTGTGCTGCCCCCTAAGGCTTACAGGGTCTGTCTCCTGGGGAGCTTTTTCCGCCTCTTCCACCTGCCCAGCACCCCCACCTATCATGCAGTTGGGCCCAGGCTCGCCTCCTCCCCCAGGGCAGTGCGGTGAGTCAAGCAGCCGCCTCAGCTTGGGGCACACTCAGCCCTCGTCACACACCCCACCTACAGCAGGCCTGGGAGGGGCTGGGGATCTGGCCTGGGTTTGGAGCCTTGGGTGTTAATTTCAGCTTCAGCTTTCCCCAGTTGCCCAGCCCCAACAAGCTCCTAGGCCCTCTCTTCCTCAGCACCCATTGGGTACAACATCTTGTCACGTTGCCCAGGGTCACCCCTGCATCCATCTTCAAGGGCCTAGCTCCGCCCTGAGTTCTGGAGTCTTCAAATCTCTGTCTCTGGATATGTAGCAAACCAAAAATCTAATATAAGCACAGCAAAATAAACTTTCCTGAACTTGCCCTGAACTTAAGGACCAGTGCGTTAGCTGACCCTTTCATTTTAAAGGGGTTGGATTCAGCCAGGAACAACCATGCCCATGAGCCACTTGAGTGCTTGGCCCCTCCTAAGCTAGTAGGGCCTCAAACCCGGGCAGCCCCATCCTGGGGGTGGCAAGAAGGCCTGGCCTCAGACCTGCAGGGGAGCACATGCCTGCCATGCTCTTGCAGGAGCTGTGTACTGTGTGCAGGGCTCAGCTCTCCCTCCAGAGGCCTGGTGTGCATGGGCACATTCTGTGGGGCAGCTCCTTTGCACTCCCACTTGGCCTCCTGGTGTGGGGACCTTTGTTTTAGATGACCGCCTGCCCCTGTAGGGAGCAAGGTGGGGAGCCCAGGCCTGTTCTGCACCCACTTAGTCCAGCCATGGACTCTTACATGAGTGACCACTGTTGCTTTTCACCAGCACTCAGCCAAGTCAAGAGTGCTGGCTATTTGGAACCTTTTTTTTTTTGCACCGAGGATTGAACCAAGGGGCACTTAACCACTGAGCCACATCCCCATCCCTTTGTAATATATTTAGACAGGATCTTGCTAAGTTGCTTAGGGCCTTAGAGATGGCTTTGAATTTGGGATCCTCCTGCCTCAGCCTCCCAAGCTGCTGGGATTACAGGCATGTGCCACCCCACTGGTTCCAGTTAGCACATTTAATTAACAGAATGATGGGTTTCATTGTGGCATGGTCATGTACTCAAGTAACACTCTAGTCATCCCTTTCTCTTCCCCATCCCTGCCCTCCTATCCCCTTCCTCTCCAGTAGCCTCCCTCATGCTGGATCTCCAGACCCGTGTGGTGCTGACATCCACCTGGTCATGGGAAATGGGGAACCCCAGTGACCTGCATTAGAGCTCAGAGGAGGTGGCTAGCTGGAAGCCGTATACTGGGTGACAGAGCTGGGGTCTTGGCCAAAACCCATCCAAAACCATCCATAACCATGGTGGTGGGTTAACTGGGTCTCAGAAGGATGGGTACAGGACCTAGCCTTGGGTGTCTTCTCCCTTCTGGTCCTCCTCTTTCCCCCTTTCCCTTTTGCCATGCCTGCTCGGCAACTCACATGTGTCTACAGCATCTTCCTCATCGACCACGCCTGGACGTGTCGCGTGGAGCATGCCCGCCAGCAGCTACAGCAGGTGCCAGGGCTGCTGCACCGCATGGCCTCCTTGATGGGCATCGAGTTTCATGGTGAGCTGCCCAGCCTGGAGGCTGTGGCTCTGGTGCTAGAAGATATGTGGAAGTTCAACCAGACCTACCAGGTGGCCCATGGGGTAAGCCAGCCACTGGGTCCCAGGGAAAGGGAGCACAGGCGGGGCCTTTGGGCCGTCAGGGCTGGTGGGAGCCCCCACAGTGAACAGGGGTCGGAGGTGGAGGCAGAGGGCCGCACCTGGCAGGGCTGGGTGGGCAGCCCAGGTGTGGAGGAGCTGGGCCTGCCCTGCCAGCAGGCCCAGGGCAGCGGCTTGCACCTCTGGCCCAGGGTCTGCCTCTCTGTGGGCTCAGTCCCGGGCCACCTCCTTTGGAAGGGGCATTTTTTCATGTGGTCTCATCAGGAGAGGCTGGGCCCCAGGTGCTTGCCCAGGCTTGGAGCTCACAGGACCCAGCTCTCAGACCCCTGAACCTGAGCCCAGACAACTGAGCTGCCTCTGCCCTGTTCCCTTCTGTCCTCTGGTTCTGCACCAGCCTTAGGAGGGGAATCCAGGCCCTTTGGCCTGACCGGGGCCTTCACTACCACCTATGGCCTCTCCAGGCCCCAGCCCCTCGCCACTCTTAGTTCAGGAAGTCATGCTTGCTCCTCCTCGGCGCCGCTGCCTCCAGAGAGCCTTCCCTGAACTCAGACTCCCTTCCCCACCACACGGAAAGTCCAGACTGTCCGCATGCGGATGAGCCAAGTGCCTTTTTACCACACAGGTTGTCACGCTGTGTTACATGGGCTCTGTCCTGGTCCACAAGGGCAGGGCCCCTGTCCAGGAGGGACTGAACTGTCCCTCCAGACTCAGGAGAGCTGGGCATAGGAGAAAAGTGACAGCTGCAATCACTCCATGCTTCTGTGGGCCGTGGTGGGCAGCCCGGTGGAGGGCACAGGGCAGAAGGAGCAGGCGGTGGACATGTGGGTGAGGGCTGCCCTGCGCCCTGCCCACAGACAGCTGAGGAGAAGGTGCCGGTGTGGTACGTCATGGACGAGTTTGGCTCGCGGATCCAGCACGCAGACGTGCCCAGCTTCGCCACGGCACCCTTCTTCTACATGCCCCAGCAAGTGGCCTACACGCTGCTGTGGCCGCTGAGGGACTTGGACACAGGCGGTAAGTCAGAGCCTCCCCACCCTGTAGGACGGGCCTCGGCCAGCTCCTTGACGCCCCCACTGATGGGCACGCGTGTCTTGGCGCAGAGGAGGTGACCCGGGACTTTGCCTACGGAGAGGCAGACCCTCTGATCCGGAAATGCATGCTGCTGCCCTGGGCCCCCACCGACATGTCGGACCTCAGCTCCTCCACGCCCGAGCCGCCCGCCGAGTACTACCAGGTGTGGCCCTGCCTCCACCTCCAACCCAGGCCTGTTGGTCTGGTGGCTGCTGGAACGTTCTCCATCCGTCACCACGTTACTGAACACTGCTGGGTGCCAGGCGCCGAGCTGGTTACTGGGAGCGGGAAGGTGTTTGGGGCCATCTGAGGCAGGTCTTGCTGGAGCACGAGCAGCCTGCAACCACATGTTAAACACTAGGTGGTAGGAGCTGCTCCTCGCAGGACGCCAGCAGATGCTGCTTGTTACCAAGGAGGCGCGGGCCTGCTCTGTCCCATGTCTCATCTGGAGAGATTTCCCTCCTGGGCAAAAGGACACTGGGCTTCCCTGGCTGTCCTCAGGTGACTGGTTCTGGGACCCTCATGGATTCCAGAATTTCCAGGTGCTGCAGTCCCTATGTCAGGTGGTGTGGTGTTCCCGTAGAACCTACACTTGTCACCTAAGACCGGAAGTGTTGTGTGAACCCTTGTTCATGTTGTTAGGGACAAGGGAGAGTCCACATATTCAGGACAGATAGAAATTTTTGACTGACCATCTGTTGGTTGAATGTGAGGAAGCAGACCCAGGGATAGGAAGGGCCGACCCCATTCAACACGACACAGCCCCTCTCCCGCACACGGCAGGCCCTTGTCACTGAAATCAAAGTGATGCTCTGACTGGGCAGCTCCCCGTCAGGCCCCACCAGGATGTCGCTGGCCCACTCGAGCATCGGGCTGGTGGCAGGAGCTCATGCAGGGCCTGATACCAGGGGCTGTGGGTTAGGGACTGAGGGTCAGTGAGGCCCGGGGAGGCGGGTCCTATAAGAACACAGCTTCTGCCAGAGCCTCCCTCTGCCTGTGGCCTGCCACTGTGTCCCGTCAACTGGATCCAGCACACATGGGAGCTTGAACCTAGCACCACAGAAGCTCATTCTCCTGTGTTCCTTACAACCTTACAGTCCTGTTACATCTTCATTTTATTGAGGATGGGGAAGTTGGGGCACAGAGAAGTTAATTAACTTACCAGAGGTCACATAGCTAGTGCAGAGCCTGAATCTGAAACCAAGGGCACACGTTAGCCCACAGGCAGAGGCCACAGACCTTGCCTCACTGTGTTGGAAGCTGCTGAGCCACACAGACTATGGTGCTTGGTATCTGGAAGGCTGCGGATGGGACTGAACAGGGCAGCTGGTGTTGGAGTGGTCGCTGCTATTGGCAGGGGTGGGCCTGGGCCTGAGCCTAGCAACACCTCCGTGGACATCAGTGGTGACCAAATGGCCCCTGCCAAGGGACTGCCCTTGTCTGTCCAGAGGCATGTCCATGCCCACGGTGTGCTCAGTGAGCTCGGGCCTGTGAAGCAGGGGTGCAGGGGACGAGGTGTGAGTCTGCCTTGGGGACAGTTGCGTCCTGGTCTTGGCTGTTAGTGGAAGGCAGATCTTTGCCTAGGGGCTCTGTGCTGACAGGAGCCAGGGCAGCCCCGCATCTGAGACATCCGTGCTTTCCTGCTGGACTCGGCAAGGTCGGGCCTGCGCCCAGGTTCACTCTGGGTGCTGACTGAGCGGCCCAGACCCTAGCAGCTCACAGCAGCAAACCTGTCACCTCACACAGTTCCCTTGGGCAGGAGTGGCTCAGTGCTGCTTTCCGGCCCGGGCCTCGGCATATGGGCCTCGGTGGGCTGCTGAAGCCTTGCCCCACACGGAGACCGACTTCCTTGGAGCTAGTGGCTGAGAGAAAGTGAGGCGGAGCCACAGGGCCTGTGGTCTGGCCGGAGCAGCACACTGTAGCTGCTGCCTTCCCTTCATTAGCAGTGACTCCCCGGGTCCAGCCCACTGAGCTAATGGACCAAGAGCTGCCTTGTAAAGGGAGTGTCGGCCCCAAGTCCTCCACTCCTTTCCTAAGGCCCAGGTCTGGCTGTGACCCCCTGCCCCGCCTCCCCCCCTAGTTTTGTGGGCAGGCTGTAAACCATTGCAGCATATGCTTGGAGCAGCCCTGCCCGCTGGAGCCCCCCAGCCCCTCCTAGGACAGGCCTGCCACCCGCTTACTCCCTGTGATCTGGAGATGATCCTGAGGAAGTTGGAAAATGTTTGCCTTGTTCTTTTGACACCAAAGAAGAACTGCTGGGTACCGAGGGGCCATGAGTTCCAGAATCCCAGATGGGGGTGGCCAGGGGCAGCGAGTGCCCAGCTCTGCAGGGCCCCACCTCAGGGCCGGGCTGGGAGGCACCTTCTCCTGCTCCCTTCACTAAGGTCTGTTTCTGCCTTTGGTGTGTTTCCTTCTAGGCCATTCTGGAGGAGAACAAGGAGAAACTGCCACTTGCCATCAGCCCTGCAGCCCATCCCCATGACCACGTCTTCAAGTAGGTGCCCCTTCTCTACCCTGGGGCTCCTGAGTTGCCAGCTCCACACTCCAGGCCCAGGCCCAAGCCCCAGAGCACTGCCAGGCTCATGAGCCCTGAGTCCTGGCAGCTTGCTGTCTGCGCAGAGATCATAGAGGAGATGCAGCAGAGCAGGGAAGGCCCTGGACTCTCCCTTGGGATTCAGGATGGAAGGAGGCGTAAAAACCCTGGTGGGGTGAGGACACTCCAGGCTGAAGCTGGGGCCACCACCAGTCCCGGCTCAGCCATGCAGGGGCACCCCCAGGTATCTGTGTGCATTTGATCTTAGACCTGAACAAAGGCTGGCCACTCCCCAGAATGGGTGCCTGTGCTGACTGAGTGTGCTGGGTGCTGGAAGAGCCACCTGGGCTGCCAGGAGAGGCCCTTCCCGGGGCCTGCAGGTGTAGACTAGTGGATCATAACAACTAAGCGGGCAAGTCCAGGCTGGGCCCTGCAGATAGGTAGCCCTTCCGCTTTCTCAGTCTTGGATGGCTGAGCACGCTTGTCCTTCCAGGAAGGTGGGAACTGTCACTCCGGCTTACAGGTTAGAAGCAGAAGTACAGGCACCGTGCCCACCTGGTGCTGAGCAAGGCCTGGGCAGGTCCACCTCAGTCAGGACGGATGGGTCTCTGCCTTCATGCAAGCCCTTCCTGGAAACCCCCAGACACCTCCCTGGGCTGCCTAACCTGGTCCAGCCAGAAATGGACAGCACCTGCACTCTGCCCCCACAGAGCCTCCACCCCTTTCCTGAGGACAGAGGCTGCGCTGGCCTTTCCTGAGGCCCCAGTCTGGCTATGACCCCTGCCCCTCCCCTCCTTGGGGCAGAAGCACATGGAGGCCCCACTTGTGGTCCTCCTGCTCACAGTCACTTCCACCATGTGCCCTGCCTCAGAGTGCTGCCCGCCTGGCTCCCCTGCCCTGTGCCCCTCCCACCTTCACATTCAGCTCCACCCCTTCAATGAGCAGGGTCCACCCCTCCCCCAGCAGGGGCTCCAGGACTCTTGTCTTGACCCCACACTGGCCTGCTTGGCCCTCAGCTTCAGAGGAGCGTTCTGGGGATATCAGCCCCTCTCGGCAGGCTCTTAGCACGTCCAGGGGAAATTGGCCCGCTCCATCCTCCTTTTCCACATGGGGGAGGCCCAGCCTTCACTCAGAAGGACTATTTCATTCTGAAGACAAACAGGAGGCAGGCCATGTGCCATCCTGCAGTGGGACATAAGAGCACGGGCTGTCCCTGTCCTTCAGCAGATAGTAGAGGGAGCAGGTCTAGACCGCCCTGCCTTCCCCTCCCCAGGGTCCACACGGACGTGCAGCAGGTGCTCAGCCACCTCACCCACCCACGCTTCACCTTCACCCCGAGCGAGGCAGACGCCGACATCCTCTACCACTTCTCCCACTTCAAGGACTACAGGTGGGGTGCCCCCGGCCTCAGCAGGCTCCCGCTCCCCTCCCTCACCCACCCAAGCCCTCCTTCGCCCTGAGCCCACCCGTTCCTGCTGCCACCTGCAGGAGCCTCAGCCAGGAGCGGCCGCAGGTGCTGCTGAACCAGTTCCCCTGCGAGAACCTGCTGACCGTGAAGGACTGCCTGGCTTCCATCGCACGCCGGGCAGGGGGCCCCGAGGGCCCCCCCTGGTTGCCCCGGACCTTCAACCTGCGCACGGAGCTGCCCCAGTTTGTCAGCTACTTCCAGCAGCGGGAGAGGCGGTAAGCCCCCAGATACGGCGCCTGGAAACAGGCCCCTGTGGCATCCCATCCACAGCTGGTGCCGGCAGCTCGTTAGCTGAACACCACCGTGTGCTGGTGTGTGCTGACCACAAGCACCCTCACCTCTCTAAGGCCTCTGCACCCAACCTCTGAAAGCCCCCTACTCCTGGGCCCGCCTCCAGTGCCACCTCTGTGACATTCCTAGGGCCCCTTAGGAGATGTTGGCCTCCCCCTCAGTGGCCAGGGTCCTGGGGTGCTTGGCTGGGAGGGCAGGCCTCAGGGTGTAGCCTGGCCGTGCCCTCCTTGCAGGGGAGAGGACAACCACTGGATCTGCAAGCCCTGGAACCTGGCCCGCAGCCTGGACACCCATGTCACCAGGAGCCTCCCCAGCATCATCCGGCACCGGGAAAGCACTCCCAAGGTGGGCAGCCTGGCGGAGCTTGAGGGCTGGGACCCCTGCAGCTAGGTCCAGGTGTCGGCAGTGACTGGGGTCGCCGGGCACACAGGGATTGGAACTGGGGCAGGGCCCTCTTGGAAGCCCTGTCCTTCCTTCCACAGCCACTGCCAGTGCCAGTAGGGGAGGGCCAGTGTGGCACTCCAGGTGGGAGCAGCGGAGACCCTCAGAACTGTCCAGTGTAGCCAGCCACAGCCAGGCGCAGTGGTGCACTGTAATCCCAGCAGCTCAGGAGGCTGAGGCAGGAGGAGCGCGAGTTCAGAGAACTTGCTGCGCCACGTAGTGTAACAGCCCAGCAGGAGCAGTGGCCAGGCATGGAGCCCCTGGGCCTGTGGTGGCCTCCAGGGGCAGCACAGGGGGTCACAGGACTGGAGACTCATCCAGGCTGTGGCTGCCATGGTGGGTCATGCATGTGGACAGGGCTGGAAGGCCCACAGTGGCAGCTTGGGACAGTGGGACAGAATGGTAGAGTCTGGGGGAGGATCTGTGTTGTTTCAAACGCTGAAACGGAGAGTTTTTTTCCTTCAACTAAAGTCGAGATGAACATGGAGACACTAGCTGCTGGCTAGAGCAGGGTTTGCAAGGCAGATGTGGGGTAAAGTGCCACTATGACTGGCCCTGGGTGCCAGGTGCAGGGGCCCTCGGTGGGCAGATGGAGGAGCTGGCCCACAGGTGCAGGAGCTCAGGGTACTGCGTCCCACGCAAGGGAGGTAAGAGTGGTCAACGAGCCGGCATCTGTGTCCTCCAGGTGGTATCCAAGTACATCGAAAGCCCCGTCCTGTTCCTTAGAGAAGACGTGGGCAGCGTCAAGTTCGATGTCCGCTATGTGGTGCTACTGCGCTCTGTGAAGCCGCTGCAGCTGTTCGCCTATGACGTGTTCTGGCTACGCTTCTCCAATCGGTAATGGGCTGGCTGGTGAGGGCCAGTGGGGTCTGGGCCCGGGACCTTCCTTTATGGTGGGTCACAAAGCCTGTGCTGGGACTTCCCACACCCACCCAGCCAGCAGCCCCTGTGTATCGGGTAGTGATGACGCGCCTTGGTCGTCCTGAGTGACCATGCCTTGGCTGTGACCTGTGACAGGTGACAGCGGGAGAGCCAGGGTGCGTCACAGGGAATCTTCACATCATGCTGCCCACCAGCCCCCACCCACTGGTGAGACAGGTGCAGAACTGGGGGCCACTGGGGAGCCGCTGCACACTGGGAGCCCACAAGCCGGCCTGTCTGCTTGTCCCCCAGGCCCTTCTCACTTGACGACCTTGACGACTATGAGAAACACTTCACCGTCATGAACTACGACCCAGACGTGGTGCTGAAGCAGGTGGGGCAGCCACGAGGCACCTGCAGGGTTCCTGTGTCCCCTCGGGGTGTCCTGTTCTCCCTGCCACCTGAAGTGCGCTGTGCCTGAGGGTGTGGGGGCAGGTGGGCGGCCTGTCCCAAGGCTGGTCACAGCAGAGTGGGGCTCAGCAGGTTCCCCCCAGGAAGCTGCCTCGCCTGGGAAGACACAGCTGTCCCTTCAGCACTCTGAGCACAGGAATGGAGGGGGCCACGGAGGTGCCTGTTGCCTGGCCCCACAGGAGACAGGGCAGCCCCCGCCCCGTGCCCACCTGGCTCTGCCCCTGCCAGCCTGTGGCCCTTCCTGGAGCCACATCTCCCATCTTCCCTGTGCGTCTGTCCCTCCTGGCACACGGTACATGGCAGTGGGGCTGGGGGTACTGGCAGGAGGCCTCAGGCGGTGCACCTGAGCCAGGCAGGCACAGCCTGGGCAGAGCTCGGGTCCTCGGAGGAGGAAAGGAGGACCAGGCCACGGCATTCACTGCCCCAAAGCTCTCTGCCCTGCCGGCTGGTTGGCAAGGGTTGAAGACAAGCCGTTAGGCGCCCCCAGCTACCTGCCTGCTCCCTCTCCTGAGGCATGACCACCATCCAGGCACCTGGACTCCTCAGCATGTGCTCGAGCACGCCCCCCCCGAATCTCTGCCACCAAGCGCCATGCTCCTGGATGGGCTTCACTAAGTGCAACCCCAGGGCGCCCTGTGGCTTCCTAATTCCCACAGTTACTCACCTGAGCCAAGTGGGGCATTCTTGGAGGCATCCTGCTGACCCTACCTGAGAGGGACCTGCAGAACGGGAGCTGCTGGGTAGCAGTGCTGGGCTCATGCACACCCGGCCAGGGCCATGTGGTCCTGCTGCTGCTTGTCCCTCTTTCGTCCTTGGTCACGTTGAAGGCCAGCACCCAGAACAGCCATGAGGGCCCCAGAACGTGGTTGGTGCCGAGTCCCTTCTCTGCACTGTGAGGGGGTCATCTCCAGAAGCCCTGTGCACGAGAACTCGCGTCCTGTCCACGTGCTGGGCTTCCTTGGGGCTCGCCCTGTCTTGCCCTTCTCAGCTTATTCAGGCCCTTCTTGGGGTGGAGTCTTGGTCTGGTGGAGATCTCGCTGGTTTTCAGCAGTGCAGGGCCACAGGTAGGGCCCTGAAGACTGGGTCCAGGCTCTGTTTCAGGTGCGCTGTCCTGGTCTGGGTGCTGGGCTGCCCTGACCCTGCTGTCTGACTCAGCCTCCCGACAGCCTTGAAATCAGCTTGCTGTGTAGGTGTGCTCCCCGTCACAGGAGGAGACAGGCTTGGAGGTTGACGTGCTTTGCCAGAGTCTCACAGAAGCCAGAGTTTAAACCCAGTCTCTTTTCCCCTTTGTAACCTGGGGGGCTTGGGCCACATGCTGTCCTATTGCCCCAGCAAAGCAAGAGTGACCGCCTGGCCCTGTGTATTGCAGGTACACTACGATGAATTCATCCCTGAGTTTGAGAAGCAATACCCAGAGTTCCCCTGGAGTGGTGTCCAGGTGAGTCCCAAGCTCCATTGGGGGCGGGGCCAGGCTGCACACCTGCAGGAACCACCCCTCACACTCTGGGACTGGGTGGCTCTGAGCACGTGGGTCAGCCAGAGGGCAGCAGGCTCCATCTGCTAGAGTGACCTGAGTCCCCTGGAGGCAGGCTGGGCCTGTGAGTCCCTGGTTGAGCCACGGGGGTGCTAGGGCAGGAGATGGAGCAGGTTTGCTGAAAGTGGACCTGGGGGCTGAGGTGTAGCTCTGGGGTAGGACATTTGCCTGGAAATTGCAAGTTCCTGGGTTTGATCCCCAACACCAGAAATAAAGTAGACTCCCAGAGAAGGGAAAATGTTAGGTAGAGGTGACATGGATAGGTCTAGAGACAAAGGGTGTAGGGGGTGTTGACTTGGGCCATTTAGGGCTAGGGTTCAGGCAGGGACAATGAATTGAGGCAGCTCTGGGAGGCCAGTCCCGGCATTAGGACCAACAGGCCCCTTGACTCACCCTCCCCATCCCTAGGCTGAGATCTTCCGGGCCATCATGGAGCTGTTCCAGGTGGCATGTGCCAAGCTACCACCCCAGGGCCTCTGCGACTACCCCGCATCCCGGGCCGTGTACGCCATTGACCTCATGCTGAAGTGGGACAGCCGCCCTGATGGTGAGGAACCACCCAGGCGCCCTGAGCTGGAATGAGCCAGGAGTCTAGACTGAGCGGCCTGGCCCTCTGGAGGGGGGACACCTGCCATGCAGAGGGCAGAGGGAGCCCCTGTCTCCCTGGCCCCAGCCAGGCCCTCCTGGTGACAGCCCACCCTGCCAGCACTGCTTCCTCTTCCCCTCTGGGCTGAACTCCGCGTCTGCCCTTGCTGTGATGCACTCTCATCCCCAGGGCTACAGTCTGCCCCTGCCTGGCCATGGGAGCAGGTGGCAGTCCAGGCCAGCCTGCAGAACCAGGAGACTTATTTCCAGGTCCCCATCCCTTGGTCCCCTGCAACCTTTTCACCTGCTTCCCTCATCCCCAGGAAAGCGGGTGATGCAGCCCCAGATCCTGGAGGTGAACTTCAACCCAGACTGTGAGCGAGCCTGCAGGTACCACCCCAGCTTCTTCAACGATGTCTTCAGCACCCTGTTTCTGGACCAGCCCAGCGATTGCCATGTCACCCGCCTCGTCTAGGGCCTCCCACCTGTTCTTGCTGGCCAGGTTGGGGCCTCAGCCCAAATCCTCTGCCTTCCCGGCCCTGTCCCTGTATCACCCACTGGGATTGAGGGTCCTCCTCTCTGCTATGGGTCAGTGAGGACACCACTGGGGCCAAGTGGTACCCCAGCCCCCTCTACACCCCTCACCACTGACTACGTGAGTGAGTCCCCAACTTTATCAAGGGCTTTGTTCCTGGCACCGGGAGAGTGTGGATCCTGGGCTGCTGTTTCCAGAGGTTAGGGGACAAGGGTTCCTTAGAAATGGGGCTCTGAGGGAAATGTTTGGGAACTCTGCATAGAATGAGGCCTCGTTGGGTCTCTTTCCACAGTGTGCCCTCTTGCCTCATGGCTCCCCCAAGCGGGGTGACAGATGCCCCAGAAAGCCTGGGAAACCCTGGCCACCAGCCACACTCCAGCCCCCACCAGCAGACCTCTGCCCACGGCCACGCAGGAGGGCCGGCTTCTCCCTTCTCATGTTTGAGAGTGGCCTGTCCTCTGGAAAGTTGGCCTACTCGAGTTCCCACCAGGGCCCACCTGCTCACCAGGCACCTCGCCACCCCCTGAGATGGGCTGAGGTGCTCTGGAGAGGGTCTCAAGGACGAGTGTGGGTGGCAGGGCACCAGGCAGGAGTGGCTGAGAAATGGCCGTGGCTAGCAAGATGATTCCAAGGAGGACCTCACTTCAAGACAGGTGCTGTTGTCACTAAGGTCCAGAGTCAAAGTGTGGGCATTTTGTTTTTTAACTTATGGGAAGAAAATGTAAAATTTTAGTTCTTTCCTAATTTTTTTCTGGAATTTGTGGTCACGTGCCAGCGTTCCTTTGTTTCATGGTCTTGGAGTGTTGTTCTGTGGTCCTGAGATGGAACCCAGGGCTTCTCACTTGCTAGACAAGTGCTGTACCACTGAGCTCATCCCCAGCCCTTTTTCATTTGGGGACAGGATCTCACTAAGTTGCTCAGGCTGGCCTTGAACTTGTGATTCTCCTGCCTCAGCCACTCAGTAGCTGGATCACAGGTGTGTGCCCAGCAGCTGCCAATGGTTCCAGTGTAGCTGCAGTGCAGTGGGCAAGTCTGTGTCCAGGTAGGCAAGAGCTGCTTCCAGAACTTTCCAGCACACAGGAGGACAGGACAGGGATGTGGTGTCTGTTTCATTTTTGAAGCTAAAAGCAATTCTTTTCATAACAAAACTGGGTGTGATTCTGCCCACCATCTGTCTCCAGGCACATGGACCACCACTCCCCTCACCCTTTAGCTGGACATGGCCCTCCCTCCGCCCAGCAGGGCCATGGCTGTGGAGGGCAGGGTTGATGCCGCCTCTAGTTTCCTCACCTGGAGGGTGGGCTGCTAGCCTCCCAGCTCTCACCCTGCTTAATTTGTACTGCAATAAAGTATGGCTTCTTCTTTGATGGCTGCTCCTTTCTCTGGGGTCCTGGAAGCACAGGCCTAGGCTGGTGTGGCAGCTGTGTCCCCTAGAGTCAAGACTGTAACAGGGTGTGGGTGAAGCTAAGACTGCGTCCAGACCGCCGGGTCCTAACAGGTGGCACTCATGCTGGCTCCGGGTTCACCTAAAACCTGTGGCACAGTGGGCAGGGGTGGTCACCGAAATCAGGTCCATGTGTCCCCTGAGAAATAGTGACCAAGCACGCTTTTCTGTTTCTAGATGTCTATGCAAACAACCCCCAAGCAAGGCCACCAGCAGGGACTCCATGTCCCAGCTGAGGCACTGACATGGAGATGATGCTGGTCCCACGGAATGCTTTCTCCTGGTGCTCAATGGCACCCTAGTCACCCTTTTTTAGGAATTCGTTGAGGGCCAGAATATGTCGGTGCTGAGCACGTGGAGTTGCTGGAGAGGCCTGGTAGTGGTGGCCTGTACCGCAGACCTTCGGGGCGGTACTGAGGAAGTCCCAGAGGTCCCTCTGCATGCTGTTGGTGGAGTCGGCATGGTGGCGCTCTGGCTGTGTGGGATGCCCACCTGTGGCAACTCTCCCAACAAGGGTGCCGCCCACAGTAGTACAGCAGAGGCCTGTCACCCTAGTCCGGAGTACCTGTCCACAAGTGTCTGATGGACTGGGGTCATCAATCACTGGGGCCTCCATGTGGACAGCAGCTGGCCAGGCCCTCTGGCTGTGCAAAGGCCTGGTGTGATGCCCTGCTAGCAAGGCTCTGCCCCTTCTGAGCCTGGGCTGAAGAGCCTTTGGGCTCCTGCAGGGCACCAGCACGTTCCTTGGCCCCCTTCCTTGGCAGGCTTGGGAGGGACGCTGGAGGTCCCCTCTGTGCCAGGAGAGCCCGGCCCATCCCCTGAGAGGGAGCCCTGTCACATCTGCCAGAGCGAGGGCGGGGTTTCCCAATGCAGTCCTGCTGATTTAACATCAAGAGCCAAAACCAAAAAGGCCCCGCTCTCAGGCCTGGCCCTGGGGAGTGGCCACAGCCAGGTTTTAGGAGGCTGCCGCCAGGCTGTAGTAGCTGGTGGCAGGAGAGGCGAGCCCTTGGCTGGTGCACCACACTGTCTAGTCTCAGTACTCCAGACAGCTGCCTGGACAGGTCAAGGTCACTCACTTGGAAGCCTGGGGTGCAGGGACACCTCCAAATCCTGGTGGGTCTGGGCCAGCAGAAAGCCTTGTTTGCTGGGGTTGGCCTGGTCCCCCGCCCCCATCCCGCCAACAGGGTATTTCAGGGCCACCCGGAGGGGAGAAGCTGGTGCCAAGCAGGTCAACTGGCATTCCCAGCCCTGCCAGTGTTGTCCTAGGCAAAGCCGGTTGAGGACCCAGGCAGGGCCAGCATGGGACGCTGGGCCTGGGCTCAGCATCATGGGAGCTGTGGGAGCTCACGTCCTCAGGGCACGACCCACCCACCCTCAGGGTCTGGAGGGTCCCAAGAGGGTGCTGAAGCCTGGCTGGTACAGCCTCACCTGGTTGTGCAGCCCAGAGCCACCCACAGAGACATCCTGTGTATCACAGCCCATCCCCTCCCCACAGTCAGGGGTCCCATAAAGGCCACCGTGTGGAAGGTTAAGAACTTTACTCGGCTTGTCAAGCCCTGTGCTCTGAGGGCGCAGCGGAAAGCGCAGGACACTGCCCCGGAGGTGGCTGGGCTTGGACGACCACCCCCAGAGCCGCTGGTGACCCCTAGGCGGAGACCCGGACAGACCAGCAGGCCCATGTAGTGGCCACGCCAGCAGGGGCACCTGACGGGCAGCGGGGCAGTCCTCAGCAGGCAGGCGCCTCACTCCTGGAGCCGCCCGCCACCGCGGCGGCCCTGGTTGTCCCGCCACACGCAGTAGTTGAGCGTGGTTGCAAAGGCCAGCCAGGCCAGGTAGGGGTAGAGCAGGCGGGCGGCGGGCGGGCTCACCCGGTGCCAGGCCACGGTAGTGGCTGTCGCCGCCCCGCTGATGAGCAGGAGGTCCACCAGGGCCTGCAAAGACAGGGACAGGGTGGCCTGAGGCTCCACAGCCAGAGCGTGTGCCCAACAAACCCTCCAAGTCAGCCGGTCTCAGACCCGTCCCACCCCTTGTCCAGGCCACGCCCCTCCTGCTACCCACCATTCCTGCCTGGCCCGCCCTGAGGGGGTAGGTGACAGCACCCTGAGGGGACACAAAGTTCAAGGGGGCGTGGAGGCTGGGAGCCTCCAGCCTCCACTGAGGGCTGCCCTGGCCTCCAGCATTTCTGCAAGGCTCCAACAAACGCCCTGTCCCTGTGCAGCGCTGTCCATGAGGTGGCCCCGAGTGGGCCAGACTTCCCGGGTGGATTTCACTTCTCAGCAGGAGCCGTTCGGAGCAGGGCTGGGGCTGGGGGCCAGCACGGGCGCCTGCCTGGCTCCGTCTGTCCCCAGCACTGCGGGAAGAGCCGCTGCCACTGGGAAGCTCCAGGCCTAACGGGGGCTTTCCTCCAGGACGACCCCGAGCCCCAGCTGGCACCTGACCACCCTCAACAGGGCCTGCAGGGCTCCCTTCCTCCTGGGTGGAGCATCAGCCCATGGGAGGCCCCGGGGCAGGGGTCCTCCAAGAGCTACGCCCACAGACCCCCGCCCCCCAAACTCCACCCGTCTGGAGGGGATGTCCCAAGTGCTCAGAGGGGACATCTCCAGGGACCAGGAAGGAAGGCCAAAGGTACACTTACCCAACCCATTTGTCGGGCACCAAAGAAGATGGGGGGCCATGCCCAGTTCAGGGCCAGCTGCCCAGCGTAGAGGCCCAGGGGGACCACAGCCTCGTCTGTGAAGCCCCCCAGCTCTTTCCAGACCACGTAGGAGCCGTACCTAAAACAGAGGCTTCTGGTCAGGACCTCACCGACCTCTCAGATGACAGTGATCGCTGCCACTGACTTCTGTGTAACTCAGGGAAACTGCTTAACCTCTCTGGGCCTTTGTTCCTCAGAGGATTGCTGTGCGGATTCAGGTCAACACTTAGTGCAGAACCTGGCATGAGGGACTCTCAATAATTATTTGACACTGTCACCTTCTATGCCATGAAGGAGAAGCACATGGGCTGAGTGGGTGCAGAGGAAGCTCTTAAGCTAGCCAGGGGCAGCCCAGAGGATGGGCCATTTGGGCAGGCCTTAGAGGATGAGGCTTTGCAGGGGAGGGGACAGGACATGCAAAGGCCCTGAGGCAGGTGTGAGCCTAGTCTGTGTGCCTGCAGGGTGGGGTCTGGGGCCCAGGGAGGGCAGATGGCAATCTACTGGCAGAGGCCACAGGGGCAACAGCCACATGCCACACCTGCAGGCCCTGCCCTAGCACTTCCCCCGCACTGGCCCATTTCATCCTCAGGACATTGCTGTTTGGTGGCAGTGTCATCCGCCCACTCCACATCAGGAAACTGAGGTTCAGGATGAGGACGGATCTCTCGCAGGCACTGGGGGACAGTGCAGCAGGCGACCATGGGGAGCCATGGGGTTGAGGGGCTGGGCCAGGTCCATGCTGCATTTGGATCTCCAAGGTGGAGGTGGGTCAAGGGCTGGGGGAGCCTCAGGAACTGGAGCCAGGATGGGGGAGGGGAGAGCAGAGACCCGGAAAGTCCTCAGAACCCGGCCCACTGGCCTTGAGGGCCCTGGTGACACCCAGATTCAGGGTCATATTCCCATCAGAATCCCTAACACTGGCCCAGCCTCTGCTACCTGCCTTGTGTACCTGGTGCCTTCAGGACCATCCTGTGCTGGGAGGGCGCAGCTGGGATGCAAGGAACATTCCAGAAAGGGCAGGGAGCCATTGGGGCCTCCAGGGGACGCTCTTCCCCACCCACCACTTTCTTCCCTCTTCAGAGACTCTCAGGCCTCGGGAGAGCTCCTGAGGGGATCCCCACTTACGAGCCTGTGTTCTTGGGCAGTCCCTGGTCAAAAGGAGGATTCTAGAAATCAATTCGGATAGTGCCTGGCACCGGGCAGCTCAAAGGGAGCTGCCATCGTGGCTGCTGTTGGCCACCAGAGAAAAGCACCTGCCACCTGACCCAGCTGGCCTTTATACACTGCAGCGGCCCAGACAGGGGTGGCAGGGCCTGGGCGCCATGGGGCCAGCCGCGGGCCACCCTCCCAGGGAGCCCAGGAGAGGGAAGCTCCCTGTGCAACCCGCAGGACTGAGGCCCCCTCCCTGCTCCCCTGCTGGGGAAGGGCCATCCTCTGAAGGGGAGATGCCCCCCAGCCGCACACCTACCCCATGGCTGAGTAGAGAGTGCCCCAGACGGGAGCCAGCGCCCAGCGGGGCGGGTGCCACGAGGGCTTCTGCAGGGTGGCGTGCCAGCGGAGGCCCTCCCCGCGCACAAAGTAGGAGCCAGCAAAGCCCCCCAGGCTGGGCAGCAGTGTGAAGCCCACGGCGGGCACCCAGGGTGGAGCCATGGCTACTGCTCTTCCAGAAAGCTCTGAAAGAGAACACAGGGCTGGGGTGAGAGCCGTCCACTCCGAGGAGCCCGGGTCAGCCCACCTCCTGCAGGGTCTCTGGCGTCCCGGCTGCGCGATGCTCCATCGGTGTCCGTGCGGTTCAGAGGCGGTGGGGCCGAAGACTGAGGCCAGGCCATGCCAGCACCGAGCCACCTCCCAGCCCTTCTCCTCTATTTCTATTTTGAGACAGGGTCTCATACTAATTTGCATAGGACCCCACTAAGTTGCCCAGACTGGCCTCAAATCGGTGATCCTCCTGCCTCAGTCTCCTAAATTGCTGAGGTTACAGGCCTGGGCCTCTGTACCCAGCTCAAGTGGACCTGTCTCCACCTGAACTTATGTTCCCACCCAGAAGCCCCCAGCTGGCCGGGGGCTCTCGGGGGCTCTCAGGGGCCCTCTCTCCCCCAGGCTTCCCCTTAGCCACTGGCCAGCTTTCAGGGTCTCCTGTCCTCTCAACCTTGATCTCGGGTCTCGGGCAGGGACCTCTCCCCTCCTCCTTGATCAAAGCCAGTTCGGGTCCCCTCCATCAGGAAGGC